TCTCCCCTTGGAATCGGGATAGCCCTTCATTTCATTTGAATGAACATAAATATCCTTCACCAAGTGTTGCTTTGTGTCAAGTTTGGTTGAAATCGGTCCAGTGGTTCTGAAGAAGCAAATGAAAATGAGAAAAAATTTACAATAACAACAACAACGACAGACAACGGACAAATTTTGATCAGAAAAGCTCACTTGAGCTTACAGCTCAGGTGAGACGTAACACATCCTATTCTTTTTTCAGTGTTAAATCTCAAAAATCATTTTGCCAGTATTAAAGTTCCTACCTCAGCACTTTCAGTTGTTGTCTCTGACTCTGAAACTGGAACATTCAGTGCTGTAAGAGAATTAAAACAATTTTTTTCAAATGAAAATTCAGGACATAATATACAGCTATTGACTGGGTATGAGGGCAACATATGATTTGTTGGACCTGAAGGTGAAAATGTTGCCCGAGGCCGCAGGCCAAGGGCAACATTTTCACCTTCAGGTCCAACAAATCATATGTTGCCCGAATCCCAGTCTATAACTGTTTTGTTATACCCTTCACTGCTCATTTAAGATTGATCAATTTATTCAATACACGCTATATTATTAATTATTTTATATAGAAAATTATGGCTTCTTCAGTAAATATAAAACATCAAGCTGAGAAAGAATAAAATCAATTACTGTAGTTGTCACAAGTGACATTGTGTCAATGTTTAATATTAGCTATTGTCCAGGTTTTGGTAAGAGTTATCTGTATTTGGCATTAGGAGTTATCGTTTATTTCATTTACGCACTATTGGTCACTGGGTTGTACTTGTTGCTATTTTTATCAACGTATACTCGTCGAACCCGTTTGAGTAGTTTGGTCAGTTATTTATACTGGGTGTTGGCTAGTGTTTGTCAGAAGAGGTCTGGACGCCGTGAGTTACCCATGCTTAGTGATCTTGGGTGTGTCTTAATATAACCCATGCTGTGTGAACTTGGGTGTGTTCTAGCTGTTTCCCCTGCTGTGTGATCTTGGGATTCAGGGATGTTTTGTAGCGGCGTTGAGAGCAAGACCTGGGGGCCGACAGTATAATTTTTATCTGTAAAATGCCACAGCTCAGTAAGTTTTTATACTTTACAATATTTTTGTTGTTAGCTTTAAATAGCAATATTCGATGTAAAACTGTTAGCAATATAGCGAGAATGTATATATTTACGCTCAAATTCATTTACTTGTTAAACGGCAAAAATATATGTTTTCTTTTGTAATTTGTTTGTAAAATCTAGTATTTTGAACAGATAAGTGTTTTGAACATTTTATTAGAAAACCCTATGAAAATTGTAGGTGACCAAAATTGTATATTAGCTTTATTTGGACGGGAGGATTTATTTACGTGGTAAGGCTACTTGGATATGGTGGACCGGACGGAACACTATGGTGGACCACAGGGACAATATGGTGGACCATGGACGTGGTGTGGAGTGTGAATTTGTCCAGTGATGACCATGATTGAACTTTTGGCCGGTTTCATGTTTATTGTACATATGTAGATAAATTTATTGTTAATTTTTATAAATCTTGTTGTTTCTTGGTACACAGGAGGTCTTCCAAAATATTATTTATTTTGGTTAGTAAATTCTATAAAGAATCCATCACAACTTGAGGTCAGTTGTGACAGTAGTGTATATCTATTGTATCACAAAAATTATCACAAAACGTACTCTTCCCTTCTTCTTAACCTTGCTGTTAGCAATAACTCTTGTAGCTCGTAACTTCGGCTATTTTCGCGTCGCCGATATTGAACGATGATTAATTACTTGTGACGTAACAGACGAGTGACGTTGCGGTCTAACAATTCTTATGTAAGACCGGTCAATAGTGAAATTGTTAGACCGATGTAATAAACAGTTCTTTTGTTGGACTTTTTATTAGTAATAAATATATAGAATGATATTTATAAGGGTATAACAATAACATGTTAAACCTATATATATGAGTTGACTGAAAACAGGTTAATGAAATTGAAAAGAATTATGATAAAAAAAATTTCTTATAATGTATAAAAAAATAATGATTTCTAACATAATCTTAAGGAGGCTGGCGGGTCAACAATTTAATCCCAAATTAACCACCAGATTCCACTTATTTTTTTTAGATACAGTATATTTAGCTGTCAATATCATTTGACAAAGAAAAAATTCACATATTTCATTTTTAAAATTTTATCATTTTGTATATCTTTATATGGAGCTCTCCTTTTAAAAGAGATTGAAATAGTCTAAAAATGGCTGCCACCCCCTAGCCTCCTTAAATTGATGTACATGAAATGCTTTTGTGCATTTTGAATTTTGTTGCCATCATTTTATCCTCATTTATCTATTAAATAGGGTGCATCTGTTTATCTTGATTTCTTATGAACTACAAATTTGTTCATGTACTACATTTACATTGCAGTAAATTGAAAGGAAGCTTACATACCCATGCTCCCCCATTAGCTGAAAATGCTTCACACAATGAACGGCACAGTACGCATTTAATTCGATAAAGACCTAACTCCCCAAAAAGCATCAAATAAATACTTCCTGCGAATATGCACATCTGAAAGTTCTAAGCAGCGCTCCCTTTCAAAGTGTCCAATACCATGTCAAATATATGGTTAAATTTTCAATTCAAAAGAGCTGAACCGAAAAATAATTGGAATTTCCTTGTAATATGTCCTAAATACCAACTGTGTTTTACTAAATTAGGGTTTAGGAGGAGATAGCTTAAAAAAAGCAAGACTGACTGGTCCAAAACACCGCTGCGTGGGGTTTCAATGTTAGAAATGCATTGAATTTCACAAATATATTTGCATATATTACATTTTTCCATTAAAAACTACACTGTACCTGTTAATGTTTCTGTTCTTTCTGGTCTGCACATTTGATCTGCTTCGTTTGGTTTGAATGTAGAACAGGAAGCAGGACTTTCTAGTAGACCTTTAAAACATGTTTAATTTAATTACATGTTAAAAAACAATGAGAGAGAGAGGGGGGAGAGAGAAAATCTGTTGGTTTTATGTGCAATATTTATAGATAAATTTAACTTTAAACAAGAGGCCCATGGGCCTTATAGATCACCTGAGTATTGTGTAGTAACTTTCAAACAATTAAATTTGGTTCAAACCAGAGAGGCCATGAATTTTTAAAGAGGCACTGTTGCTTATCATAATTATGAACTAAGCATTCTTACTCTATTTACTTAATACCAAGAGGAAGATCTGAGTAACAAGGAGAAAATGGTTTTCTACTTTATAACCAGTTGTGTACCTCATCCCCAAAGGAACCAATGACCCTGGGGCCACATTTCAAAATTTTGCAGATTTATCATACAATTGTTGATTACCGGTAATACCAAAGAGCGGATTTCAAAGCATTGATTTATTTTCAGACTATGTACCCCCCCCCCCCCAAGGGGCATAAAAATAATAATTTTGCTAGATGCATCTTTCTTCATCATAAATATATATATTGGATCTTTGGCATAAAACCCAGGAGCAAAGGAAAATTTTTTTCGAAGAATTTATGCATTTTCACTATATCATCAATAGAGCGGCGCCCTAACACCAGAACCTTTGACCCCGGGCCATAAAATTCACAATTTTGAAAGAGGCATTCTTGCCCATTATAACTATGTGCTTAGTTAGTTTAATACCCAGAAGCAGAGATTTTCAAGTATATAATCTATATAGCCCTGCCCTAGCATTATAACCCCTGACCCTGGGGCCATGAATTTCACTATTTTGGTAGAGGACTCCATGCTCATTACATTCACGCAAACAGTTTGATCCTTGATGTCCAGGAGTAAAGAAGAAGATTTTTAATTTTAGTGGTTTTGGCCCCACCCCTCTGGCCCTAGGGGGCTTGGACCATAAAATTCACAATTTTTGTTCCCTTTAATCTAAAGATGCTGTATACCGAATTTGGTTGAAATTGATTCAGTTGATTCAGAGAAGAAGCTGAAAATGTTTAATGTTAACACACGATGCACAACGACAGACAAAAATGGATAGCAATAGGTCACAAGACCTACTCAGCTGACCTAAAAATCAATAGCTATAATTAAAGAGGAAAAGACACATACCTGATCGAGCAGCTTGTTCATATTCCTCTACTGTTGGAATACGTAGAATAGGCTTAGGCTGTCTGGCAACTTTTAACGATGGCGAAACTTGCTGTTGATTAGGGGGAGTTTGGGGAGGAATTTCTAATGGTGGAATTGTAAAATCAATGAAGTCGTCTACATCTCCAAACCCTTCATCATTCTCTTCCTCTTCTTCTACTTCATCCTCCTGCTTCTTCTCTTCCTCCTCCTCAGTATCTGTGTGGTCCATATCTTGGAGCACCTTTCCTGTTTGGCTGTACAGATACTCCACTCCAAGGAGTTCACCTTAGCATAAAAATAACAAACTTTTTTTATTAAACAAATACATTTAAATGTGATATATGAAGGAACCTACTTTTTATAGTTAAAAACTTCACTCGACCTTTAGATATATCGACTATGTATTGACAATTAATAATAATAATTTCCATTACTACGTCAATATGCTATATCCTGGTGAGCTTGAGTTAAAAAGATACCACAGAGTCCGACAATTCTGCTTCATATTTGGATATTTTACTTGAAAAAGACACTAATGGTAATCTAACAACCAAGCTATATGATAAACGTGATGACTTTAACTTTTCTATTGTCAACTTCCCTTACTTATGCAGCAATATACATTCATCACCTGCATATGGAGTATATATATCTCAGTTGATTCGAAAGGCAAGAGCATGCTCTACGTATGAACAATTTCTTAAACGAGGTAAATTATTGATAAGTAAATTATTGAAACAAGAATATCTGCAGTATATGGTTGATACAATGACCTTGTCAGCTAATACAATTTATCATTGAGTCAAATGCTGAGTGACGTTTTTAATAACATATGCAAGTCTATTATTTATACACTGAATTGACAAGTGATTTTTTTCCTGTTATATCCTGATCCTAAAAACAAGCACACAGTGGGTGTGAACGGTCAGCAGGGGATGCTCACTCCTCCATGGCAACTGATCTTACCTCTGATCTTTCAGAGGTCCATGTTTGCTCTGCTCTTATTTTGTATATTGTTTAATGGACTTTGAGATTGAATACTGTTCGTTATCCTTCTTCAATGAAAACATTAATATTTGAATTTCTTCAGTGTTTGATATCACTATATTTCTTGTTTAAAAAGACAATTTGTTAAGTTCCTTTACAAAAGGAACATCATAGCCAGTATATTCAATTCTTAATGTATACTTTGACTAAGATTCAAAAGACCATGTGCTACTAACCAGTATACTTATGAGGGGCAGTATATGATGGAAGCATCTTTCTTCCAAACACAGCTTCTCCAAGTGAGTTGAAAGTGTGTCGGAGAAGACCACTGTATGTCTGGGGTTCAAAGGATGAAATGGTGGTGGCAGCTGATCCTCGGTCTTGATTCCACCTGTTAAGTCCATCCAACAGATATGCTTGAAATAGGGTGGCATTTGCAAGTGTACCTGTCAAATTATAATAAACACAATTAAGAATATTTAAGAAATAAACAACAATACGAGGGGCATTTCAAAAGTTCTGGCAACTGTTTAATAAAATATTAACCATTTTACGTAAATTATTGAGTTTGATATCATGTGAAAGATCAGAAAAATATACACATATTGTGACGTCACTTTATAATTTTCATGACGTAATAACTCTGAAAATGACGTCAGAATATAGAATGTTTAGCATACTGAAAAGTCGCGTTTTTATCCACATGAGACGATATTAAAAGTTCTGTCAAAGGCTTATTTTCAAAAATATTTCATAGAAAATTTGAATTTGAAAAGAGGTAGAGTGGGACTATAATACTGTTTATCAGCAAATCCATTATTCATTGTATGGTTTGTTTACGAGCACGGTTTTTGTCCGGTTATGCTATCATAGACATTCATTTAGGATTTTTACGACTGGCTTATCGGTCTTTTATATAGCTTTCCATTGTTCAAAATAAAACATGTTCTGTATTAAACTGAAGTATATTAATGCAGTTTTTATCAAATATATTTTGAGTAAAAGGACTCTTACCGTTCACGAATAAAATGTACTAAATCTTGTCCCCGACTTGATTCTGTGTGTATTTTTTCATATAAATTCAACTTCGGCGCCCCCCAAAATCACTACTGCTTTTGACTTTTGAATCCAAAACATGAATATAAGTTACTCAGACATGTAAAATCTTATTTATTTACCATGCATTAAAATTTACGAATATGTGGCGGTACGGTGGGGTTACAACTGCGCCGTCGCCATTTTGGATTTAACGAGAAAATATTGCGCACACTAAACTTTACTTCTCTTGAGCCTTCATCGATCCCACGAATCTGGTTAAAACACCTGACGAATTAATGCCATTGAATTTTGCAACACGATCGCCTATTTTTCTTTGATTGTCAACTTTGTCTTTTTCTCACATTTAGGTCCCTTTCACACAAAAGCTTGAGCGAGATTCGATAAAACCATGCTAATTTTGACACTCGCTAAAACCATTTCAGAACAAAAAGATCTCCAAAATAAAATACCATATGATAGATTGTAGTCTATGTAAACATTACACCAAATGGCATTTGCGTCCGTTTACTTGCATCCAAGTAATGAGCAAAAGTTGTCTTGAAAATTTTTATTTGATCAAATTGTGTCTTTTGTTACGTCATTTTTATGGTCAGTATGCTAAACATTCTATATTCTGACGTCATTTTCAGAGTTATTACGTCATGAAAATTATTAAGTGACGTCACAATATGTGTATATTTTTCTGATCTTTCGAATGATATCAAACTCAATAATTTCCGTTAAACTGTTACTCTTTTATTAAACAGTTGCCAGAACTTTTGAAATGCCCCTCGTATTAAAAAGTTCTCTGGAAAATGAACTTTTAGTTGGTCACCTGCTCAAATCCTGTGAAGCCCGAAGGGCTTCTCAGTAGATTTGATCACATATCAACTAAAAGTTCATTTCCCAGTGAACTTTCTAACATTGTTGTATATTACTTATATTTACATTTGAAACGAAAACATTTCGAATTAAATTGTATTTATTTCACCAAGGTGCCAACCTATTGCTATGTAGTGACGCGCAATAACCTAGAAGTTGTTTGGTCAAAATATCACATCACTCTGTGATCCAGTAGCGCTATGAACTATGACCCCCAAATGAAATTCACACGGAATTGAACATATTTTCTTTAGAATAGGTTCATCTAAGAAAGATATTTGCAAATGTAAATATATAAGAATATATTCACAAGGGATACCTATAAAATTAAAGCGAGAGACAATTGAAAATATTTTTAAATATAAACTTGTAATTAAACTTTTAAATGAATCAATGTGATTATATTATAAGAGTATTACCTGGGATGAACCTAGCCAAGTGCAGATGGAAACATTCCAAAGAAGTAGATCCCCTTGCACAACGATATACAGGAAGGTGGCATCCTCCTTTCTTGCTAACACCAGTCTGGGTGTATAACTGGACATTTGGAGGATCCTGTATACATTGCACATGCTTCTGTTGCTGTTTCCAGATCTCTGCCATCCGACCACTGTTAATAAGGGGCACTCCTTGGGTGTCTCGCCCTTTGTCACCATCTAGAGACTGAATCAACTGGGTGATGAGGCGGGTGGTTTCCTCAACACCTCGAGTAGTTCTCCTACAGTGCATGGCCAATTCACTGCTTTTGATGTGGCGAAAGACATCCTCGTCTGTCTGGTTTTCGATATGCAAGGCTTCCAACTCGGCCTTCTTTGCAGCGATCAAAACTTCCACATCTTCTGGATCCCACATGTATATGCACTGACTGAGACGAGACATAAAGGTGGCATACAGTGCATGAGCATCCGTTGTACAGCCAACAGACAGACGTCTCATAAAGTGCCAAATGTCTAATCGGATTGACAGCTCTGGCCAGTCAGCAAACATTCTTCTCAGCTGGTTGTTTCCACAGCAGTCTCTGTCAACATAGAGGAGATGAGGGGGTTGGACTTCTGCCTCTCTATACCGTTTTATCAAGCCATGAATCATTGGACTTAGTCCATAGCCTTCCCCAGTTGTAAGTACAGACATGATTACTTGGCCATACTCATTCCCAACATTGGTGGCCCACATAGCTGTCTTTGAACTTTCACCTGCCAATTTCTTCACAACTTTCTTAGTTGAATCAATTTTCAGTATGTTACCAAGCAGGGAGGTGATATTACTCTTCACTTCTTCAATACGCTGCATTACATCCTGGGCATACACTTGCATCAGCCAGCGATACTGAGGTACTGGAGCTAGGGCGGGTGGCTCTTCATGTCTAGGTGGCAAGATCAGTCCCGTTGCTGCTGCAAGTGAAAATCCTCTGCAGTCTGTCATGTATTGGATACATTTCTGTAACCAGACTTCACTGTGCTGCTCCTGAATTTTGGTTCTTATCTGGCTGGCACTATTTCCAATCCCACGCTGTCTAAGGAGGCGAATAATTTTGATGTCACATGCTAGCCGGTAAGTGAGGATGCATGGGAATTGCAGCTGGTGTCCTAAGTCCAACTGTTGTATAATTTTCTGATTCCAGCTGACCATTCTTTTCTTGCAAGCAGGACATATAAAAGTCTCTCCAGCAATTGTATAATATCCATTCACATCAAGGACCTGTCTCACTTTGTTATATATCCCGACGGATGTCAATTCAACTCTGTTGCAACCTTCTTGAGGGCAATATAACTTGATCAGCCACAATCTTCTTGGCATCCAGAGGAACAAAGGACGTGAAAAATATCTGTCTACACGGGGTTTTATGGTGCAGGACAAGGACGGCTGTGGTGGATAAAACCAAACTCTATCTATTTTGTCAATATTAAATTCGACTCTCCCTCCTGGACTGAAATGAAATAGGGCTTTGGAAACCCAGAGGTGGTCTGCTTTAGGGAGAGTTTGTTTCCAGCCTGCTGGTAGACAGATATCTCCTGAAAAAAAAAAATTTAAATAATTAAATAGCAGGCTCAACGAAAGTAAGAGGCCCACAGGCCTTGATGATCACGAGTACCATAGCCCTTGAATGGACCTGTCAGGGAGTCTGGTGTTTGCATTTCACTTTTGAAGTCTAAACCCTATTCTGGGGCTCCTCTGAATATTACCCCCCTTTTATCATTTGATGTTTGGGGAGGGGACAAGAGTTGGAGGAATACTCCAGTGACTCAAGTAACTTTAAAAAGAATCTTAATCAAAGTATGGCTAGTATATTAATTGCTATGATCTCTTCTGATTTATGAGCTCAAAGTATAGTTTTGTACAATTCGGTAGGCTAATTTGGTGATGCATTTAATATATTATAATAAATATTAATTGAATCAATGTTTAGATTTGATGGCATTTGTTTTTATAATATCATTGATTGGGCAAAAGGACTAAATATACGGACCAGACACGAATTATGAACTTTTTCTGTTAGTGGCCTTGAACTTGCATAAATGACCTTGGTTCAAAGTCATGACACAACTTCAGGTCATAAACAATGTTTGTGTGAAGTAGTAGATTCAAGTTTTTCCATAATAAAGATATGTACCAAACATGAATTTTACAATTTCTCTTTCAGTGACCTTGAACTTGCACAGGTGACCTTGGGAATGACACACCCTTAAGTCATGAGCAATCTTTGTGTGAAATAGGAACCTACCAAGTTTATCCATTAGAAAGATATCGACCGGACACCAATCATGAAATTTTTCTTCCAGTGACCTTAAACTTCCCCAAATGACCTTGGGTTAAGGTCATGACACCCTTAGATCATGGGCAACCTTTGTGTGGAGTAGTAGATTGTAATGTTCTTCCACAAGAAAGATATGGACCAGACACGTTGGCACAGACAGACGGACAGACAAATGGATGGACAAGCTGATTCCTATATAAACCCCAAACTTTGTTTGCGGGGTATAATAAAATCAAATAATAGTCCAATTTCATTTCATAATAGACTTTTGCCACGACACTAACTTTTACAATTAACAGCTTACTTTTACACCAGGAAAATATACGGGATCTCTTTTGTGAAAAAAATATTGATCAAAACATTTAACAAAACGATAATAGCGGGCTATTTCAAAGATCATATAATGTGGTCTAAGAAGGAAACGGCAACATTCCTACCCTCAACACCCTCCCTTCAAATCTTAATTAATTCCTGTCAAGTTTTCCTACAAAAGCTCATTTTCTTCTTTATTTCATTTCTTACATTATTGAAAATAAAAGGATATATTAATTCTCGTGAATAAAGGACCTATATCAATTTATTTTACCACCAATTATATTTTTTGCTTGATTATTTCAAAACCTAAATACAATAGCTTTCACCTTAATGGATGTTTTCTATTTTTAATTCTGTACCTCCGTACATGACACAGGTTTAAATGTCCAAATAAGCTGTCAACTGTAAAAGTCAGTGTCTTCGCAAAAGTCCAGTAGTGTAGTTTAAAAACAATAAAAGTACCTGATTCCGAAGTGAATGGCTGAAGAGTGAATGTGGCTGTGGGTGGTCCAGCGGTCATGGTGGCTGTGGGTGGTCCAGCGGTCATGGTGGCTGTGGGTGGTCCAGCGGTCAGGGTTGCTGTGGGTGGGCCAGCGGTCTTGGTTGCTGTGGGTGGTCCAGCGGTCAAGGTTGCTGAGGGTGGGCCAGCGGTCATGGTGGCTGTGGGTGGTCCAGCGGTCAGGGTTGCTGTGGGTGGGCCAGCGGTCATGGTGGCTGTGGGTGGGCCAGCGGTCTTGGTTGCTGTGGGTGGTCCAGCGGTCAGGGTTGCTGTGGGTGGTCCAGCGGTCATGGTGGCTGTGGGTGGGCCAGCGGTCAGGGTTGCTGTGGGTGGGCCAGCGGTCATGGTGGCTGTGGGTGGGCCAGCGGTCAGGGTTGCTGTGGGTGGGCCAGCGGTCATGGTGGCTGTGGGTGGTCCAGCGGTCATGGTGGCTGTGGGTGGTCCAGCGGTCATGGTGGCTGTGGGTGGTCCAGCGGTCATGGTGGCTGTTGGCATTCCAGTGGTCACAGTTGCTGTGGGTGGTCTTGCACCTGTTGATAACAATGCATATTTTTATTTTTAAGATACATTCTGAGTATTAAATATTACATTGTATAAATGTGCTGTTTAACTAAATTAATAAATGCCTGAAAAATGTTTAATAGTATAAGAAAAGATGAGGGTAAAATTTTGTCTGATTGTATTTCCTCAATATCCTACCAGAAATTCAATTATTAAGTCATGATATTACTGTATACAGGGAAATATTCGCCCCGTTTTATTTTTGCCCCTTTCGCCCTAAACTTGGTCAGGCAAATTTAAAAAGGGGCGCATTCAAAGAATACAGTATAATTTCTTAAACAAAATTGTGACTTGGCGAATTTAAATTGGGGCAAAATTGTATTAAAGTGTAAATAGGGTGAAAAATAAGTGGGGAAAAAATTAACCCTATATCACAGTATCCACATGATTCACATGTGTGGATCATATGTGGCAAAGTTGCCTGTGTAAAATTATAATGCTGTTTATCATACATGTTAACTGCTTTACCCTATTTAAAAATACCCATGGACAAATTTTTACTTATTTTTACTAATGTCATGTATAAAATATTGTTTGCATAAGTACATGATAACTTCAGTCACATAGAATTAAGCATACAATTTTATCATAAATTATATGCATATTTACCCCATCAAAATACCAATGAATTAAAATAATGAGAATTAAATTGCAAAACCAATCTATGTTATAGTTCTTATGAATTAAATATATGATTATTGAACCGTTTCCAAATCTGTTTCAGTTATCAATCAAATTTAGAGTAGACTATGAATTTGTGAATTTAGGATATATTAATATACAGGCCCGGTTTTATTAAAAAAAATCACACGTTAATAACTACTGGTATATAATTTTAAAGATTTGTGAAAATAAAACAAGTTATTGAAAGGTAGATATATATGTACATGCATGCCCACAGTTATGGATGATTATGCAAAACACAAAGAAAGGAAGCTAAAGCTTTAAATTTGAAAACAATATATATACAGTATCTGAGTACGAAAGACAACACAAAGTGAGAAGCATTTACATCATGTGCATATCTATACTTACAGTACTGTTATTTTTTAAATACCCTAAAAATCAAACAACTACATGTTTAACTTCCTCACTACATTATCTATTAAATCAATTTTATTAACAAGGGGTCCAAGGGGCACATGGATCACCTGAGAAACATTGGTCAAAACTCTGATCAGCTAGCAGCAGCATTAGGAATCAAAGACAGGCTATCCTGTTAGTCTAATACGAACAGTGGAATGTTCAGTGCACAGTACCTACTGTAGATCACTTATTTTTCGCGACACCTTATTTTTGCGAGATAGTCATTGACTCTATATTAGCGAGACAAAATTTTCACGAATTGTGGTCACTGCTCTACATAATCTTAAGGAATTCTATTATACGCGAGAATGAAATTTTCGCGAGCATACCGTCTCGCGTAATTACGCGAAAATAAAGTTCTCGCGAATAAAAAGTGATTTACAGTATCTATTTGTTTTAGCAATTAACAAGCCATCAATAACTTTTTTAACAAAATTATTCCAGTTTATTCTTCCTAGTTTAATTCAATTTAAGCATTTAATTTGTGCACCTACCAAAAAGAAACATTCAACTTGAGAAAATATAACTTGCAACATTGTATTGTAAATGATCCCCCCCCCCAATATAGAGAAATAAGAGACTGGTTCCCTGTCATGGATTACAGGGTGCCTGCACTTATAATCAATTACAGTAAATCAGCTAGTCTATTGTAAGAAAATGCATAAAATTATGAAAATTTGATCCTGACTTGACTATACACTTCAGCATAAAACAAATTTTTTTTCAATATTTACATTTTTCAGAGTCTTTGTCTATGATATAACACACCATATATAACACTACAAATTGATTTTGTAGTACAGTTCAATAAATTCAAATGACATATTTTAGAGCGCAGACAGGATTTATATAATTAAATATTGATATTGGCATTTGATGCTAGTCAAATCAAACAATTGATGAAAATATTGATAAACATATAACTATAAGTAATAAGGACTCATTCTTTTGAGTTTTATGAGGTGTAATTCTCAGGTCTGGGCATAGTCAAATCGAATGGAGCCCAAAGGTTAATGTATTTATTAGGAATAGATAATCAAACTGAAAATTTATCAATACAATATTTTAAACCTTTTTGCCTCACATGCCATCTCCAGCTACTATCTGTTTGCTTCAGAAGAATGTTCCGTATACAATCCTTTAGTTCAATAGCCCCCTATCCCCAACAACGTCAACATGACCCACAGGGATAAAACATATAATTTGGTATTATACCTTTATTGTAATCTATCTTTACAAATAATACTTTATTTTAATCTATTTTCATAAATAATAGCATTTTAATTCTTCGAGGAATTATTCAAGCATTGTTTTCTTAATATTCCTTTCATGAACTTTGAACATGTTAGGACCTGTTCATGACCATTTAGAGTCTTTTTTTTTTTTTTTTAGATCTACCACATATCACAAAGCTTATGTATTAAAAGTTTGGTTAAACGGGCTATTTGGTTCAACAGAAGAAGATTTGAAATATCCCCATCAAATATTTACTCTTCCCTGATCAACTACCCCTTAAATGGGAATTGGCCCTTCATTTGAATACATTTCAAAGCCCTTCTTCAAAGGATGCTTTGTTCCACATTTGGTTGAAATTTGACCATTGGTTATAGAGGACGAGATGAAAACGTGAATCACTTCATGTCGAATATAACAAGAACTACAAACAATGGACAAATATTACTCAGAGAAGCTTGAGCCTTTGGCTCAGGTTAGCTAAAATTATTGGGATGTAATCCTTTTCAAACAGGAATTGTCACAAATATCATATTTAAAATTTTTTTTATCATCTTCTTAATTTCTTTACAATGTTTTTGTGGGAAATTGAATATGATGGTAATTTTAAAAAATGCTCTATTCTTTACATTAACCTTTTAATTTTTTGTGTATTATAGTATCCATTTAGTTGTGTAAATAAAACAATTATGAAAATTTTAACTAATTTATGACAAAAACTTGATTAAATTAAAGATTGATTTCCTCCAACAAAGCAAATAGATGTTTTTCCAAAAAAAATTCATTCATTATTCACTGGATTATGAATGCATACATACTGTAAGACAATTTTTCCATCTCCAACACATGCTGTAGGAGGGCATTATCACTCATCTCTGTTGGTATAGCTTCAAAAGGAAGAAAAAATTGATAAATATATAGTAAAAGATGTCAATATTTTTCTCATGCAGTTATAACTCTATAATAATTGAGAGCTAGTTGATTAAATTAAAACTATATATGACCTTGTAAAAGGAACTTAAGCTTATATTTCATATGCAAAATATACTGTATCAATAAAAGTATTTTTTAATACATTAATTTACATGTAAATCATTGTTCTTAAAATTTGATTTCAATAGATTTCAGCTCATATTAACTGCATTCATTAAACTTAGCTGTGTATCCTATTTAGCATGATAGACAGCTTTCGCTCAATCAAGTCATGCAAATTATATCTGTTTAAATAAATAAATTCAGAAATGTACTAAAACTATTCTAATTCTATTCAAAATTCAATGCATTCTTAATATTGTAGACTGTACACGCTAAATATAAAATGTTTAAAATATAAGCTCTTGGTAAACAAAATATCTCATCTTATCATCTGTTATTATACTCAAATATGAACTACATATTTGGAAATTAAGGTAATTCAAAAGTATGAATAAAATGAATTTGTGATATGTTAAATGCATCAGACCATTTCAAAGTAAGTTTAAGAAATATGATCTTTTGACCTGATAACAATTTGACTGGGATATGATCCTTTTTTGCTTTTTAAACTAGGTTCAAATGTTATCGTTGATTAATTGTATATTGTTTAATGTCCCTCTCAAGATTTTTTCACTCATATGGAGACGCCACCACTTGCCGGTGGAGAGCTGCAAATTTTGTCCTATACTCGGCACTCAGGGCCATTGAGCAGGGAGGGATCTTTTTTGTGCCAGCACCTACTGCGACATGGGACCTCGGTTTATACGGTCTCATCCGAAGGACGGGTCTCCACGTCCCACAGTGGGATTCGAACCCACGATGTAAGGATTTACTCCTTACTTCGCGACTCTAGAGCAGACGCTCTAACCACTGTGCCACGTGGGTGACGGTTCAATTGTTATCATTTATTTTTTAAAGAAAATGATTTTCCTATCTTTTACTTTTCTCTAGCTGATTTTATTATTTTCATAATTTCACCATGAATTAAGCATATATACACGTTCAATGTACTACTACAAATGAATTAATTATTAGAAACTGTAAGTGAAAGTACATGTATTTATAAAATATTCTTACTAGGCTGAACTTTCTTAGGTGAAAGTAGTCTCTTGGCCCTATGCTGCAGTGCTTCATGGGTCAAATGGCTGCTTAAAGCCAGAGACTTCCCAACAGATGATGGTTGAGAGGAAGAAGTCTGCTTGACAGATGAATGTGTCTCCTTTTTCATATTGATTGCCTCTCTTCCCTCAGCAAAATGCAACATGTACTTTTGAAATTTTTCCTTGTTGATGGTCTGGTCCTTATTCTCTTTAGTTTTATCCATGTTGGATTCTGCCTCCTTTTCCATTTTCATAACCAGCCACCCTGCATACCCAAGACAATTTTCCAGTACCCACCGAAAAGTCTGGCCTCTGTATGTCCCAAATTGAAGTTCATGTTGCCCCAGTACATCAACTTCATTACTGGTTACACCATGATGTTGGCGAATTCTTCTTAAAGCAAGGGCTCTCACATGTTCATCTGTTTTTGGCTTCCCCCAGTACCCCCTTGCCTTGTTCTCTCTAGCAATAGAAACTGCTGCTGGTGTATCTGATAAATTAAGCTTGCCATTGGCATATCTGCGAAAGTTTGGGGCCCTCATCCTACAAAATTTAATTCAATAAAATAATTCCCTTGATTAAAAAAATTATATTCAAACACTTATAATAACTACTCTAAAACATCCATGTATATCTGTTAAAACTTCAAATAAGCTGTAAGAATTCTAGAAATGATCAAATATTTAATTGATCTTTAGGGTATGTAAAGATAAGATGTTAAATTGAAATTCATAATTTTTCAGGCATTGACACATACTAACTTTAAAACCATAGTTGTGAGCAGGGCTAGCCATTTCTTATTTCTACTAGCCTTGTTCATGTATTACTTCTCCAACAGCCGAAGGCTGATGGCCGAGTTGCGAAGCGATGAGGGGGGTAGGTGCAGGAGGGGGTTTCTACCTACTGCTGACGGGGGTACAGGGGGCCTTCCCCGGGAAATGTTGAAAACAGAGATGTATAATCCTGCATTCTGGCTGTATTTTGGGTAAAAATCATATATGTCACTCTATGAATGTACCTAAGACATTTTTTTCAATTCGAAAAATTCCATATTAATAATCATTTAGGGTATTTCCAATCACCTTTAAAGTTTACATTTTGACTTACAAAAATAATAATTAAGATGATAAAACATGTTTGAAAATATTAACAATTATCATGCAGGTATATTGTGTGTAAATTCTAATTATTTTCTTGCTCTTAGTGAGTAATTGGTAAAAGAACGAGTGCACTTATGGGCCCCGGTAAAATGTGAAAGAATAAACATTCAAATTAAGCAAAATTTTTGATCCCAAATCATTAATTGATATCTAAACCGTAAGATTCAACAAATTTTACCGCTGAAATTCACGTATATACAAAGAACAAAACCATAGAATGCGGCAGAGGTCAACCGACATTTGTGATTTTCTATAGTAAATCGAGAACGGTCATTCATTTCAAAGCTTTTGTTTAATTACTATGAGCCTAAATTTGTATAAACTTGTGGGAATGACAAAAGACCCATAATACATTTATAAAACTTGTGTGAGAGTAGGAAATTTGTACATGATTAGACTGGTAGTTAAAATATTAAAAATGTACAAAAAGTACAATGTTTTTCCTATAGCAAGTGAGAGGTATATACCTGTATGACCCATGTTGAACCCACTCGTGGAATAAATTATTTAAAATACTGATAGTCACGTGAGTTCTACCCAGGTAAACATTCCTCAAAGGTGCTCACTGTAAAACATCGGCAGGTTTTTTATCATTTAGTCAAAGTCGCGACGCTTAGAAATATTTCTATGTATCTATATTTAAGATTACGGTAGGGTAAAGAGAGTTTTAAGCGCCACTCATAAAAGTGTCAGACATTTTTAACATTTAGGCTAGACAATGATACAGGTATTGAAAGCCACCTAAACACTCCTTTTAGATTTCAAATTTATTTCATTGTATATATTTTTTTCAAATGCAAGAGTACCGATTTCTTAGTTTGATTATTATGGCTTCAGGCAACTACACAACTTTCAAATTTTTAAAAAAGATATAGCACAAAAAAATTACATTCCACAAACGCGCCCGACTATGATCCACCATCAGATTGTTCAAGATCTCTTCGCCTTCATTTACATAAACAAAACTAAACATGCTAAAAGAAGGTTCGGTAGACTTTTCCAGATTTTTAGGGTGTCCATATAGGCATTTAAAAATACTCAATTGTTTCAAATGAAATCCATGCTGATTTGGGTGATGATTATCGTGCTTTTTAATTAGAAATATATACTAGTATATAACTATTTCCAAAAGAGAATGATTTGGTTATATATTCTAAAGTAAAA